CAGGGACCTAGGAACCCATGATGAATACTGCACAAGCCCTGTGTACTGCATCCTGGCAGGTGAAGCTTTAATGTCTTCTTCTGATTCTCAATTTTCTTGAGCCAGGGATCAGCAGCAGTGCAGATGGGAACGGTGATGACCACAATAAGATGCGCCACAAGGAGAAGCAACTGAAGTCAGTCTCGTGTAACGCTACTAAATTATCTCAGTATGTCTTCACAGAGACCCATAGACTCACATCGAGACCCAGTTTCTACACTCTCTCCAAAACTTCTCCATCATGAGTCTGTGGGTCTCTATGTAATAATGCGGGTCACTGTGTAATAATGCGGGTCTCTATGTGATAATGCGAGTCACTATGTGATAATGTGGATCACTATGTAATAATGTGGGTCACTATGTGATAATGTGGGTCACTATGTGATAGTGGGTCTCTATATTAATCTGTGGGCCTCTATGTGATAATGTGGGTTTCTATGCGAGTCTGTGGGTCTCTATGCGAGTCTATGGGCCTCTATGTGACAATGTGGGTTTCTGTGTGATAATGTGGGTCTCAAACTATCAGACCTCTCATGACATGTCCGTTATCATATCCGGTAGTTGACGTGGTGCAGTATTTACCAGAACACTAGACTTGCACTGCGGGTTCGATTCCAGCGTCCTGCAGTGGTGGCAGTTGAAACGAAGGGGCACATTTCTAAACTCTCCCTATCTAATCTTGATTTGAAGCTTTCGTGACTGCAGGAATCCATACTCTTTGATTCTTTCGGTAAAGTCACGTAGGTATAAATTAAAACAAAATAAACATAAAAAATAATATATCACGACGCTTGTGTTGCGATCGAAACGTCGTGATATATTTTTTTATTTTTATGATTTTTCTACCTACGTTACTTTACCGAAAGAACCAAAGAGTATGTCTCCCTATCTACGTGATCATCCTCCTGATGACGACCGTTTGTGGCTCTGGGGGAGATGACGGTGAGAAGGCTGAGACTATCTAGTTAGCTACGCTTCATCACCACGAATTCAAACCGGGTTCAAATAGAAATATAACAGTTATACCTGAATGCCCATATTGGTTGGGATTCCGAGAAAAGTACTGGGCAGACTGCAGCTTGTTCAGAATGCAGCTGCTACCGTGCTTATATGTACACCATTCTATGAGCACATTACACCAGTCCTCATATCTTTTATTTGACTACAAGTCAAATTCCGAGTGGATTTTAAGATAATGCTATTAACCTATGAGGCTTTAAAAGGGCTTACCCCACATTACTTTCAGGAACTAATACATTTATATATTCCATCAAGGTCCTCTCCAACTGCTCAGCATTCCCAGGTCTAGATTGTGCTCTTTTGGTGATTGGGCTTTTGTTAGCGTGGAACCCAAGCTTTGGAATGCCTTGCCACTTGAAATCTGGCAGATATGATAGATATGTTTGTCTGCTTTGAAAACCCATCTCTTTAAAGTGGCCTTCCCTCTTTAGTTTGGTCGGTTGTCCCTGGTTCTGTTTCCTGCTTTTCATGCATTGCGCTTTGGGATCCTAGGATGGAATGCGCATTATACATTTGAATTATTGGGATGAATAACTACCTGTATTACGTGAATGTATGCTGAAGATCTGGCAAATGCTGCTCACTCAGAGGAGGGGAGACTCTGCTGCTGAACTTAAGGTGGAATCTTATCATCAACCCAAACAAAACTTAACTCCCAATGAGTGATGGGGCAGTTTTGGAGTAGTGGGGTTCCCGTACTTGGGCGGTGTGCTTATGACCAGTTTTGGTTTGACAGCAGAGTTGTCACTCCGGATCAGTAGAGCAGCATAAATTTCATTGGCTGTGTACTTCTGTGTGAAACCGACCTGCTCTGTCACTCCACACTACTCTCCCTTCTCTGATTGCGAAACGTGTACCGCTCTAATGGAACATCTTTGCTGGTTAGAAATATTCAAGATAAACCTGCTTACAATTGTAGTGACATTAAGGGTGTCGCTATGGTATTAGCGCCAGGCATTGTTATAAGTGTTACTGTGCATCTGGAAGTTCTCTCTGGGGCCAGAGTACGGCATGCAAAAGGGCCCTAGGGGGCATAGTCCTGGTGACGGCCTGAGAGAGGGCAAGTCAGGACATGGTACACTGGGTGAACCCGGGAGGACACGTGACTGGGACAGGGTAGTGAAAGGGGCTCGAGGGGGGCTTGAGGGACACGTGATGCTCGGTCGAGATCCTTCGGGAAAGGTATCGAAGGGGGCGTGGTCAAGGGCGGAGCGAGGCCATGCTCAGGCGCATAAAGGGCCAGACACGGGAGTGTTCTGGGCTGTTTTCTGGAATCAACCCTCAGCGCCACGTCTCTCCGATCTTCGGTCTCCGCTCGGCATCGTGGGTCGGTCAGGGCGTTACTGACTGACCCGGTTATGTAGTTACCCTGTTAGGGTCTAGAGTGTGTACGTTTATGTAGTTAACCTGTTGTGGTCTAGTTAACAGTGTAGTTATCACGTAGATGTTGAACCAGTGTACGTTTATGTAGTTAGCCCTGTTGGGGCTGTGTAATAAACGTGTTGCCTCCAAGTCAAGTGTGTGCCTCCGTGTTCAACACTACACAATGCATCCTGGGTTTAACCTGCAGGCTGGATTGTGAGGCACTCACAAATCCTTGAAAGAACTCAACAAAGTTGCATCGGTGAACTCCTCCTGCAGCCAATGCTGCGTTGGCTGGGTCATGTAGCCTGCATGCCCAGCCACGACATGCCCAAGCAGCTTCTGTTTGGCTGGATAGAGGGGGCTAAACGGGCATGGTATGGGCTCGAGAAGAGCTGGACTGATACAGAACAGGAGGATGTGGAGCTGAGTGGACTTGGCAATCACTGGTACCAGTGGTGTCAAGATCGGCCTCTATGGAGTAGGCTCGTAAAGGACGCTGCTACTGGGCTGTTGGAGGCAGTCGCCCTCCAGCAACAACGGAGGGCAGAGGAGCGACGAACGAGTAGAGCAGCGGATGGCTAAAACGCACGCAATTTGGCACAATAGGGGGAGCACAGGTGGTGCATCGGCCAGTCATCTCATTCAGTCAACTCAAGGCACCTGGGTCTATCCCTTGACCTTCTGCCAGCAGCGAGCCTTTCAACACTTCAAGCGGCCTCAAAGTGCACCTGGCCTGGCACAAGCAACACGGCCGTTGTTGTTGTTGGTGGCAGCGATGGAGAACGATGGTGTAGCGGTTAACGCTATGCTGGACTACGAATCTGGCAGTCCAAGTTCAATTCCCCCTCACGGCCAACATTAGTGACGATTACCAGAACCGGTCGTGGACCTCCCATAGGTCGACTCAGCCTCAAATGAATACCTGGTGCAGTGTCTAAACATCACCACTGGGGAGACAAAGGCGGTTGGGCGTGGTGCTGGCCACCCACCCCCTCGTGTGCCGTGTCGGCCTTCGAAGGCGCTGCTCACTAACAGCACTTTCCCCAACAGTCTGGTTAAGGCGACACAGGGATCTTTGTCTGATGATGGGTGGGGGTGGTGGAGGTAGTGGCTCTGCTGCCTCGCATGGCTGCCTGCAGTGTCTGGAAGCAGCAGCAACCGTAGCGAGGGTTGGTGGATCACACACAGATGGGCTTTGAAACGTCCCTTCTACCCTTGGGTGGGCATTTAGGAGCCGTACCATTGTCTTTGCCAGGAGAGAAGGCAGTACAGCAACGTGTGGACTAATCTTCATCTGTATGGGGATAGAGCGTTTCCCCCTTGTGCTAGGCATGGGTTTGTCTCTGCTTTCTTCCTTCTCCCACGTGAAGACCAAACACAGCTCGTCATCATCAACGCACCTTACAAATAAACCAGTGTAGCAGCAGCAGGACACTCCTAAGATTAGGGGTTAGAGATAACCTGCGACTCCTGAATGCAGCAGTACACTAACTAATTTTCAGGAACAACGTTGTGAATAACAGCAGTGTTCGCTTGCCTTGTCACTACTGGTCTAAGAGATGAACGCAGGTCTAGTGTAAAGCAAGCTTCTTATGTTTATATATCTTCGATTTAAACTACATTATGAAACTAAATAATGTTTTATTTTACCAGGGAAGGCCCACTAGTGAGCTACGTAGCTCTTTTTCAGAAGCAAGCTGACGAAAAAGTAATCGCTCAACGAAGCGGCTTATCATCATCACGTGGAAATGTATGGCAGCCAAAAGCTCTAAACGCGTAGAGATGTTCATTCTAAATGTGAAGGGTTAAACCGGAGGACCCGACAAAAATCCACACAACCATGGGGAGAGAGACGCAGACTCCAAATATACAGCAGGCCTCAGAGTCGGGATCGAACCCACGACCTCCTGTATACTGGGCGAAAGAGTTAACATCTCCTAGCCACGGCGTCGATTTATATCGCAGTGCCTTCTGAGTCCAAGGTCCTTACATAAGATGATAGTGGTGGAGATACCAACAGTGTGGTTATTAAAAGTGGTGGTGTAGTTATGATGACAGTTTAGTAGAACAGGTGGGAGTGGTTAAGGAGTTCTGATCGTGATAGGGGTTGTTGGGGTAGTGATAGGGGTAGCGAAAGACGTTGGAGTAGTGATAGGGGTTGGAGTAGTGATGGGGTAGTGATAGGCTAGGGTAGAAGAGATGGGGGTTGTGTTAAGGGAAGCTGCAGGTTGTCAGAGTGACTGTGAGTGCTCGGTGTGCATCCAAGAGGACAAAGCCACGTCGGAGATTGCCCCGGAATCTGTGAGCGTGCATGGTTTTTATTCCTGATCAAACAGCAGATTCCATCGCGGAGATGGAATGAGGAGGAGTCGGAATGAGGGGGAGATGGAGCCAGGGGGAGATGGAGCGAGGGGGAGATGGAGCGAGGAGATGGAGCGAGGAGATGGAGCGAGGGGGAGATGGGGCGAGGGGGAGATGAAGCGAGGAGATGGAGCGAGGGGTAGATGGGGTGAGGGGGAGATGGAGCGAGGAGATGGAGCGAGGAGATGGAGCGAGGGGGAGATGGGGCGAGGGGGAGATGGGTGAGGGGGAGATGGAGCGAGGGGGAGATGGAGCGAGGGGGAGATGGAGCGAGGGGGAGATGGAGCGAGGAGGAGATGGAAGAGTTGAGCGGAGTTGCTGTAGATGGATATTCATGAGGCTAGAGACGGAACAGCTGAGTGGAGTTGTTGTAGATCGTTGCTGCAAGCTCTGATGGATCCTCGTCGCGAACGGCTGCGATGATTTCTAGCACTTGACTGGAACAACATCACCACCACCATCACCAACATCACCATTGTCAACATCATCGTCAATAACATCAACTAGGTTATCATCATCATCGCCACCATCAACATTATGAACATCATCGTCATCACCTTCCCCACCACCATCAACATCACCAGGAATCATCTTCTTTGGTTCTTTCGGTAAAGTCACGTAGAATGAGAATAAAATAATAAATTGATAAAATAAAATAACACAATAATATTCTCACGACGTTTCGACCACAACACAAGTGGCCTTCATCAGGTGAAGGTCTCGTCCCTTCACCTGATGAAGGCCACTTGTGTTGTGAGAATATTATTGTTATTTTATTTTATTAATTTATTGTTTTATTCTTATTCTACGTGACTTTACCGAAAGAACCAAAGAAGATGAATCCTTGCAGTCACGAAAGCTTTAAATCTAAATCACCAGGAATATCAACAAGAAGATTGTGGATGTGTTCATGTGTTCAGTGTATTGTGCATATATTGTATGTTTGTTGTGTAATTGTTGTATATATTGTGTACGTGTGTTGTGTGTCTCCTGTGTGTTGTATATATCGTGGGGAGCAGTTGGCACGCTTCCGTTGTGTGTTGTGTACACTCTGTATGTTGTGTGTGTTGTGTACACTGTACGTTGTGTGTGTGTTGTGTACACTGTATGTTCTGTGTGTTGTGTACACTGTATGTTCTGTGTGTTGTGTACACTCTGTCCGTTGTTTGTGTGTTGTGTACACTGTACATTGTATGTGTGTTGTGTACACTGTATGTTGTGTGTGTGTTGTGGACACTCTGTACGTTGTGTGTGTATGTCTCCTCGGACAGTAACACTATGGTGCCTATGACCATTGCCAATTCCAATCATGGAGCATGTTGCGACCACAGCAGCTAATGGGGGTGCTGGATGGGTGCGAGGGGCTGGTAACGCCTCCACCTTCAATTGAATTACCACGAAACCACAATATAAATATGTAAAAAAGCTTGTGCTGGAGAACAGGCGTCTATGACACCTCCTGGCCGAACCCTATTTGGTAGAGCCAGGACACTAAACCCATACCCTCGGGGTTCCTCCATAAATTGCAAAAAAACACTGCGAGTGGCCACATGGAATGTTTGAATGCTCACTGCGGAGATGTTGCCATTCCTCTGTCGTGAGCTAGATCGGTACCGCCTGGATCTCTGTGGTATTCAGGAGGTCCAGTGGACTGGCTCTGGCTCCAGTCACCATGAGGGTTTGAGTCCTCTACTAGGGGCCAAACAACAGGGTATGGCTGTTCTTTCGAACAAAATAATTAGGGGGGTCGTGGGAGCGTAGCAGTGAAGTGTGGGAAGTTGTAAGCCCCAGGCTACTGTGGGCTTGCTTCCCCATCAACTGGAGGCAATGAACTGTGGTGGTGGTGGTTGCTTACGCCCCCACCGAAGAACATCAGTGGGAGGATGCAAGCAAGGCCGATGAGTCAGATGCCTTCTATATATAACATCCTGTCTGAGGTGCTAGCTAAAAAGTGTCCCCTCAGGATATAGTCATCCTTTTGTATTACTTTAATGCCCGAGTAGATCATGACGCTGGCACCTGAGCTGGAGTGATTGGAAGGCATATGCCAGATCAGCTCAATAAAACATGGGAGGAGGCTGCTAGGCTTCTGTGCAGCCCATGGGCTTGTAATTACCAATACACTGTTCCGGCATCAGCACATCCACATATTATGGATGCACGCCGGGTCCAAGCAAGAACATCCACTGATGATGGAACAGCGGATGCGGGCCCATGTCCTTGACACGAGGACCTACCGTGGAGGTGATCTGCCAACTGACTTGTTATCTGCAAAATGTGCCTGCCATTCTTCCACTCCAGTGGTTGGTGTACATCTAGGACCCCATTCAAACCCACAATGGCCTGGTCTCAGCGAGCTGATGATTGCTCGCACCTGGGGTTGGCATCGTCATCCTCTCCTGATGCCGAGGGGGAAATGGGACAGGTTTAGGACTCGGGCTCATGCAGCTGCAATGCCTGCTTTAGGTACATGGTCCAAACCTCCCGAGAGACCCTGCTGAGGCTGCGGTACCTGAAATATTGGAAGCAGTCACCCCATGTAAATGGCTGGCTGAGGTGCCATCTGTTGAGGAAGTATGGAAGGCAATCCAGAGTCTAAGACCAGGAAAGGTGCCGGGCAGAGATGATCTCCCAAGTTAAATTCTGAGGGAGGATGGCATTTCTGTGCAGACTGCCCTATATGACATCATAATGACAGTCTGGACCACTGGACAGGTTCCAAAAGATTGGACGGGTGCCCTTGTGGTCCCTCTCTTTAAAAAGGGTGACTACACAGACTATAACAACTACAGGGCCATTCACCTCCTCAGTGCGCCGGGAAAGGTCCTGGCGAGGATTATTTAATATCGCATTGCCAGGCATGCTGAGGAGAGGCTTATAGAACCCCAATGTGGTTTCAGGGCAGGGCAGTCTTGCATTGACACCATATTTTATGTCCGTCTGCTACAGAAGATGTGTAGAGAATTCCAACAGGACCTACATCTTTGCTTTATTGACGTGGTCAAGGCTTATGATACCATCAATAGGTCTGGGCTCTGGGTTGTTCTTTGTGCTTTCGGAGTCACTGACTCTTTGCTCACAATCATTAAAGACCTTCATGATGTAGTTAAAACTACATGACCAAGAGTCAGAGACATTTCCTGTTCACCTTGGGGGGTGACAGGGATGCCCCCTGGCTCCCACATTATTTAACATCTTTTCCACCACATAGCTCGTGAAGCCTTCTATGGTTGTACCGGAGGAATCTTCATCAGGTACAGATACAATGGGAGGCTGATCGTTGCCCGGGTGCAGTCAAGGGATGGCTCCTTATTGGTCAACCATGTCATGTATTGTGATGATCTGGTGATTGCTGTTCACTCAAAGAAGGAGTTCGAGGCACTGCTGCTTAACCTGGAGCATGCTACAAAGAGGAGGGGCCTTACCATCAGCCCCACCAAACCAAGCATCTGCCTGGGTATTTTGTGCCATCAAACACTCCACCATATCAACTCCCCATTAGTGATGGGGCAGTTGTAGAGAGAGTGGAGAGCTTCCCATACCTGGGCAGTGCGCGTATGACCGGCTCCGGTTTGATTGCAGGGGTCTTACTCCAAATCAATCGAGAGGCATTATCTTTTCATAGGCTGCATAATGCTGTGTGGAAGCTACCTGTGGTCTGTCGCTCCACACGAAGCTTCGAGTCTTCTCAGCCACGGTCATGCCCTCCCTTCTCTATGCTTGCGAAACATGGACCCGCCTAATGGCAGATCCATGTTAACGCTTATTTGCCTGATTTGTGAGTTCCTCACACAATCTATCCTGGGTTTAACCAGGCTGGATTGTGTGAGGAGCTCGCATTGCCCAGTCAGCTGGATAGAGGGGGCTAAACAGGCGCGGCACGGGCTAAAGAGAAGATGGAGTGATGTGGTACAAGAGGACGTGGAACTGAGTGGACTTGCCAATGACTGGTACCAGTGGTGTCAAGATCGGCCTCTGTAGAGGAGGCTCATGAAGGACGCTACTGAAGCAGTTCGAGGCAGTCGCCCTTCAGCAATAATGGAGGGCAGAGGAGCGACACTCACAACAACGTGCAGAGAGCCAGGCGGTTAAAACGCAACAAGCTGGCACAGTAGGGGGCAAAGCTGGTGCGTCTGCTAGTCATCCCAATCAGTCAACCCACAGCACCTGGGTTTGTCCAGTGACCTGTCAGTGAGCTTTCGATACTTCATGTGGCCTCAAAGTGCACATGGCCTGGCACAGGCTCCGTGGTGATGTCACCGCCATTTAGTGGCGAATGGCGGTTGTTGTTGTTGTTGTTGGAGATCTATAGTGTAGCGGTTTGCGCACTGCACTATGGATGGAGTTCGATTCCCGCTCATGGACAACACCAGTGATGCTTATCTGAACCGGTCCAGGGCCTCCCCTACGTCGACTCAGCCTCAAATGAGTACCTGATGCCATGTGTAAACCGCCACTGGGAAGTCAAAGGCAGCCGGGCGTTGTACTGGCCACCCACCCCCTCGGGTGTCATGTTGGTTTTCATAGGGAATCGCTAACAGCACCTGTCCCAACAGTCTGTTCAGGCTATAGGGAAAATCGTTGTTTTTGTGTGTACGTATGCGTGTGTATGCTTGTGTGTATGCGTTGTGTAGGTTACACGATGAAGCAGGGCTCGTGTCTCCCTTTCAGCGCCCTCCCCTCCTCCCACTTCTTGCTGCAGGGGAAGTGAGTGGAGACGAAGGGGAACCCAGCGTGGAGGGGGCGCACGGAGCACCACGGCGCATCTATCGCAGCACACCCCCACAGCACCATCACAGTCGTTAGCTCGGTTCATCACATTCATCACCATGGTTACCACACCCAACGCCGTGGTTTCCACAACCGTCACCATGCTTACCTGTCTCTATGAGAAGGCGCTCAGCCGGGATGCTTTTGATGGCGTCCAGATTCTCGCGCGTCTTCAGTGAACTGGGAATAACAACTGCATCACCATCTAACCACAATCACAACCTTACCACAACCTAAAGACAACTTGACCACAACCTAACTACAATCACAACCTAACCACAACCTAACCACAACAATAACCTTACCACAACTGAACCAATCGGGCTTTGCGTGGTATTCCCTGGCCATATGTGGATGATGGGATGTGTCCGGTGGTGGTAGTGGTGGTGGTAGTGGTGGTGGTAGTGGTGGTAGCAGTGGTGGTGGTCGTGGAGGTGGTGGTAGTGGCGGTGGTAGCGGCTGTGGTGGTGGGGGTGGTGGTGGTGGAGGTAGCGGTGGCTGTAGTGGAGGGGGGAGCTGTACCAGCCATTGATGCCGATGAACAGGCCCTGCTCCACGATAGCCGCTGCCTCTTCCTTGCTCCCATCAAACGAGTGGACCTGGTGATAACAAATGACAACAGCTGTAGACTCTTCTGGCTATGATAACAACAATCACAACCAACAATAATAACACGGGAAGTGTTCAGATATTCAAACACAAACTATGTTACTGCCCTGTGTTATTACTTCATCCTCATCTCTGTCAAGGATAAACACAAGTCTTTACCCTTGACAGAGATGGGGGTGTTGTGGTGAATGTTGGGGTTTAACATCACTCCATCTTCTCTTTATCCCGTGCCGCACCTGTTTAGCCCCCTCTATTCAGCTGAGCAAAAGCTGTTTAGGCATGCGGTGACTGGGCAATGCGGGGTACGTGGCCCAGCCAATGCAGCCTTGCCGGTCAGAGGAGCTAACCGATGGGACTTTGTCCAGATATTTCAAGGATTTGTGAGCTCCTCACACAATCCAGCCTGGTTAAACCCAGGATAGATTGTAAAGACTTGTCTTTACCCTTGACAGAGATGAGGGTGTTGGGGTGGATGTTGGGGTTTAACAAGGACAGGGTGAGAAATGAACAAGTGAGCGGATGTCTCAGGGTGGTAGAAATCACAGAGAAGATGAGAGAGAGAAAAAACTGGTGCGGTATCGTAATGTCGAGAGAGACGATGGGAAAAAGATGTCGGTCAGAAGATGGCAAGTGATGTAAGGGGAAGGAAAGAGATTAAGAGGAAGAAGGCAGATTAAGTGGTGGGGAGGGGGCATGTGATGCGATCGGACATGGTGGCCCAAGGAGCGGAAATAAAGATGACGCAAGACAGGGCAGCATGGAGAAGGTTGGCAGGGACAGCGGAACACCCCACATTAGTGGGACAAATGCGTGGAAGAAGAAGAGGAAGGTGAAGGCTTTTCTTCTTTTTCGGCCTGTTGATGCTTGCAAAATGGGTCCCGGAGAGAGAGAGTGGCGAGGACGGGAAGAGGAGAGAGGCCGGGGAGAGGGATGGGGAGAGGGACGGGGGGAGGCAGAAGGGCAGGGAGAGGTGGACGGACAGGGACGAGGAGGGGAGAGGGCCAGGGAGAGGAGCAGAGGAGAGGGATGGGGAGAGGGACGGGGAGAGGCAGAAGAGCGGGGAGTGGGGGAGAGGGACGGGGAGATGGATGAAAGGAGGGGGGGGAGGGATGGAGAGAGGGGAGAAAGGAGAGGGATGAGGAGAGCGGTGGAGAGGGGGCCACCTCCTCCTTAGAGCTCGCAGGCTCATCCGAGCCGAGCCTGGACAGCAGCAGCTCTAGCAACTGCTGGTGCTAGCACCAACAGGTGGCGGCTCGATTGTTTTAGATGGAGCTAGGGAGCCATGCCTGAGCACAGAAGCTGCGTGGCAGGGATAGGGGCAGCACAACAGTCGTCCCGCATAGAAATGACATGGGGGAGGGCCTGGCATCGACTCCCGGGCTCCTGAGTAGAGTTGCTGGCCACCCACCCGCCCATGTGCCACAGTGCCGGCTTTCATAGGTGGTGCTGCTGCTCGCTAACAGTACTTGCCCCAATAGTCTGTTATGGTTCTTTCGGTGAAGTCACGTAGGTATAAAATAAAAAAAATTAAATCACGATGTTTCGACTGCAACACAAGCAATCATCATCAGGTGGGAAAACCAGAGCAATTATTTTTTGTTCCTGTGGTTTTCCCACCTGATGATGATTGCTTGTGTTGCAATCGAAACGTCGTGATTTAATTTATTTAATTTTATACCTACGTGACTTTACCGAAGAACCAAAGAGTATGGATCCCTGCAGTCACGAAAACAACAAATATAGATTATACGGGGGATCTTTGTCGTTATTTGTGCATGGGTGCTTGAATTGGAGGCTCTGCTACTGAACCTGAAGCATGCCACTAAGAGGTGGGACCTTTACTATCAGCACCACCAAACCTAAGCACCTCCCTGGGTATTTGTGTCATCAAACTCACTGTTTGGAAGCTTACTGGTTTATCACTGCACACGAAGCTTTGGATCTTCTCGGTCATCTGCACTGGTTTGAAACATTCAGGCTGGCCTGCCTACGATCCATCCTAGATCACAGATCACTGAGATTATCTGGACACAGTCCTATCATCAGTGAGCTCCTCTGGTCGGCAAGGCTCCATTGGCTGGGTCATGTAGCCCGCATGCCCAGCCACCACATTCCCAAGCAGCTTCTGTTTGCCTGGATAGAGGGGGCTAAACGGGCATAACATGGGCTGGAGAAGAGATGAACTGATATAAAAGTAGGTTTTACCCTTTCTCACAATAAAACAGATGTTAAGATGTTAAAACACCAAACTGAAACCTTTTGCAAGGAATCATGTCTGTATTAAACACATATACTTGTGATGAACATGCAAACAAAAAAAACATGTTCTGGTAGTATATGCATTCTCTTTGAAACTGATTGGTCTACTCCAAAGACAGCTTTCTTTAGAGCTTGGTCTCAAACAGTGTTAGACCAGTAAGAAAGCTATCAATCCGTTTCAAAGACAATGCATACACATATACTACCAAAGCACGTTTGTTTTTTTAGCATTATCACCACAAGTATATGTGGTTAATGCAGATATTGTTCCTTGAAAACTTTTCAGATTGGTGTTTTAACATCTTAACACAAATGGTTTTTTTTGCCAGAAAGGGTAAAACCTATTCTTATATTTTGATACTGGCAAGGGAGGTCCCATAATGTAGATGGACTGATGTGGAACAAGAAGATGTGGAGCTGAGTGGACTTGCCAAAGAATGGCACCAGTGGTGTCAAGATAGGCGTCTATGGAGGAGGCTCATGATGGATGCTACTGGGCAGTTAGAGGCAGTCGCCCTCCAGTAGCAACGTTGGGCAGAGGAGCGACGCTCACAACAACGAGTGTAGCGTCAGATGGCTAAAATGCAGAGATTTGGCACAGTAGGAGCCGCAGGTCAACCCTCAAGTCAACCCATGGCACATGGGTCTGTCCCGTGACCTCCTGTCAGCGAGCTTTCAAGTGGCCTCGAAGTGCACCTAGCCTGACACAAGTGTCGTGGGGCGATATGAGCCACTTCGATGATTATCTATCATCATGTGTGGCCAGGTTACCTCTGAATAAAATCTAAGAGCTCAGGGGATATAAGTTGGTAAATAATACAACATGTGAGAATGTTTTTTTCCCAGAAAAAAGTGAAAATCAGAAGTTTTTCTCAAGTATATAAACTTTGAATTGATTCTACAGATCTACACTCGAGATTATGATTCATATTCATGACTTCCCTTAATTCGTGTCCCCCGATCCAGATGCGAGCGAACCCATCTGGCACTCACCACGCCACCCGTGAAGCGATCCCTGTTCCTCCTCACGATGTCTATCACACGCAGTCACGCGCACGCAACACACAGCAAAAGACAAACATCGGCCCACATCGAGCCTTTAACAGGCCTGTTGGGCAAGTGCTGTTTGCGAGTAGCACCTACGAAAGCCGGCACAAACACAACAGCCACCATTCGTTACTACATGGCGGTGGACATCACCACGATGCCTGTGCCAGCCTACGTGCACTTAGAGGCCATATAAAGTGTCGAAGTCTCGCTCGCAGGACATCAGGGGACAGACCCAGCAGGTGCCATGGGTTGACTGACTTAGATGACTGGCAGATGCACCACCTGTGCCCCTACTGTGCCGAATTGCTGTGTTTTAGCCGCCCCGTGCTCCATGAGAGCGAGTGAGTGAGCGAGTGTGTGAGTGAGTGAGTGAGGATGTGAGAGTGTCTGTGAAAGTGTCAGTGAGAGTGTGTGAGTGAGCTAGTGTGTGAGTGAGTGAGCGTGAGAGCAAGTGAATAAGTGAACATGAGCGAGTGAGTGGACAGACTTTGTAAGTTCTCTCCCCCTGGTCTCCTGAGTTTTACTGTACAACTGGCTGAGAGTTGGAGCCCGATGATGGAGGATAACAAAGCTGTGTGGAGCTGCACTTGGATGGGGCTGCACTTGGAAGGGGCTGAGTCTCACCGAGGAAGTCGCTGTGTGAGTTCCTGCAGTGCAGGAACATGGGGAGCCGAGTTTCCTCTGCCACCTCAAACTGCTTCTCAAAGAACCTACACACAGGCGGAGACGCAGGGAGACGCGGGGAGACACGGGGGCGGGGACACGGGGGAGATGCGGAGAGACGCGGTCAGACATTCGGAGACGTGGGGAGACACACGGAGACGCGGGGAGATGCAGGGGAGATAGGAGAGATAGGGGAGACGCGGGGAGACACGGGGAGATGTAGGGAGATGTAGGGAGACGCGGGGAGACATGCTGTGTGTGCTGTGTGTGCCGTGTGTACCGTGTGTTCTCTGTGTGTTCTGTGTGCTGTTTGACCCCGTGTGTCCCCGTGTGTGCTGTATGTGCTGTGTGTGTTGTGTGTTTCATGTGTGCTGTGTGTCTCCTGTGTGCTGTGTGTCCCCGTGTGTTCTGTGCGTCTCATGTGTGCTGTGTGTCTCCTGTGTGCTGTGTGTCCCCGTGTGTGCTGTGTGTCCCCGTGTGTGCTGTGTGTCTCACTTGAGCTGCGTCTCTTTGGCACAAAACTGGAGCCGGTCGTAGTCTGAAAACCAAAGAGCAGAGAATGAGAATCATAATCTGTGCTTGTACTGCAGGAGGAGGAATCCAATGAGCTATAAACCTATTTTTCACAGATGTCCAGTTCGAGGGGCACGGTGTCAGAAGAGCAAACACGCAACACACAAACACGATGGGAGTGCAAAGTATAGGAAAGGTAAACAAATTACGTATGCAGGAAACCCTTGTTAATTTGATACATATGGGGCTCTGGCCTTGCCGAATTATCCAATATTATGAATTCTGTACAATTGTACTCCCCAGTTCCTCCTGCCCCAATAAAAAAAAAACATCCAAATTTGTTTTCGAACAATACATATCCAAGTAACACTTACCATCAGTAACTAGCGCTGCATGCGAAGGAGCATGTGGTAGGTCACAGAGGTTGTGGAGGGGAGCTGAATGCACTTCGTATGGACTTACTGTACTGTATATTCACTTTATCACTAAACTAGCTTTACTACCCGGCATCGCCCGAGACTTGGATTCACCACTCCCGGCCGCCTTTGTCCCCCCAGTGGCGATGTTCACACACTACACCAGTTACTCGTTTGAGGCTGAGTCGACCTAGGGGAGGCCCAGGACCGGTTAAAATAATCGTCACCGGTGGTGGCCGTGAGCGGGAATCCAACTCGGGTCACCGGGTTCGTAGCGCAGCGTAGCGCTAACCACTACACTACAATGTGTTTCGCTTCCACATGCGCGGGTCACATGACAGATTTGATGTCACAGCTCACTTGCCGTGCAAAAAATATATGCATTATTGAGCTCCCCCCCCGCCCCCCCCAAAAAAAATAAGTGTATTTTTATAATTTGTCCATAGTGTACAGTCTGGAAAGTACCCACATGGCAAATGTCAAGTTTGTTGCATGTCGGGAAGTACGCTAAACATTTTGAACAAACACACATAATCACAACTTTGCCTTTTATATATATGGAGATTATAACTTAAACACCAATTTACACAAACTTAAACTTCACGTTTTTCACTTAACAATTAATGTTTACTTAAAGACTACTTTATTTTACACTTTTAAACCACATTATTTCTATTCCTGCTTGATGTAGGTGTAGACGACACTTCTGAGTGGGTTGGCTTCCACAGAGCGCCTAAACAAGGTAAAGTTCGAAGCAACAGGTCTGCACTAACGCTCACCACGCGCGCCACCACTAGACTGCGTCATCGTTTTGGCCGTGGCGCGCGGCGTCGCTCTACGTGCATGCCGAAATTGGACCATTCGGGAACGGCAACTTGGCTCACTGCTAATTACTAATACTGGAAAAATGCCGAATGATCCCCAATTAAGAATTTTCAAGTAACGGATGAAGCTCACTGAACTGTTAGCTTTTTTTTTCAGAAGTGACCAGGCCACCACAAATTACAGTTTAACGAAGTGGCTTATCGTGTGGAAATTGATAGCAGCAAAATAATGACAAAAATTATATAAATCCATGCATCTAAATGTGGAGGGAAAAAACCGGACTACCCGGATGAAAAAATGAATGCGACCTTGGGGAAAGAGACATGCAAACTCCACACATACAGCAGCAGTCAGGGTCGGGATCGAACCCACGACCTCCTGCATACCAGGCAAGGTAGTTAACATCTCCTAGCCACCGTGGCGTCATGATTGGGATAAAACCCACGACCTTCTGCATACCTGGCGAGGTAGTTAACATCTCCTAGCCACCGTGGCGTCAGACTCGGGATCGAACCCACGACCTCCTGTATACCTGGCGAGGTAGTTAACATCTCCTAGCCACCTTGGCATCAGGATCAGGATCCCACGACATCCTGCATACAGGCGAGGTAGTTAACATCCGCTAGCCAATGTGGCATCTGGGTCGGGATCGAAGCCAAGGCCTCCTGCATACCAGGCGAGGCAGTAAACATCTATCCACCGTGGCTTCAGGGTTGAGATCAAACCCACGACCTCATGCATACGAGGTGAGGTAGTTAACATCTCTTAGCGACTGTGGCTCAATGCTGTGATGAGATACCGCACCCAGCACCTGCACACAATACTGATGCCACCGTTGCTCCATCTCGTCCTGTGGGAGGCGCTCCGTTCACAGGTGGCTGCTCCATCATCAGTTCCATCCCTCTGCCTCTCAGTGTGATCACCATCAACATGGTCTGTCCACTACAGGATGGAGATCACTGTAGTTGGGTGGGCTGGCGGGGGTCGGAGGGGGGGTGAGTGAGTGAGTGGGTGATTGAGGGGATGGGTGGGTGAGCGAGCGAGCGAGTGAGCGAGTGGGGAGTGAGGGAGCGAGTGAGTGGGTGTATGGGTAAGTGGATGGGTGGGTAAGTGAGTGGGTGAGTGAGTGAGTGGATGCATGGGTAAGTGGGTAAGTGTTTGGGTGGGTGAATGAACTGGTGAATAAGTGAGTGGGTGGGTGAGTGAGCGAGTAAATGAGTGGGTGCATGGGTGAGTGGGTGGGTGGGTAAGTGGGTGAGTAAGTGAGTGAGTGGCTAATTGAGTGAGTGAGTGGTTAAGTGGGTGAGTAAGTCAGTGGGTGGGTGAGTGAGTAAGTGGGTGAGTGAGTGGGTGGGTGAGTGAGTCGGTGGGTAAGTGATTGGTGGGTGAGCGAGCGAGTGAGTGAGTGGGTAAGTGAGTGGGTGGGTAAGTGAGTTGGTGAGTGACTGAGTGGGTGGGTGGGTAAGTAGGTGATTGATTGAGTTGGTGAGTGAGTGACTGAGTGGGTTGGTGGGTAAGTAGGTGATTGATTGAGTTGGTGAGTGAGTGACTGAGTGGATGGGTGGGTAAGTAGGTGGTTGAGTGAGTGGGCGAGTGAGCGGGTGGCTAAGTGAGTGGGTGGATAAGTGAGTGGGTGGGTGAGGGAGTGGGTGAATGAGTGAGTGAGTAAGTGGGTGAGTGAGTGGGTGAGTGAGTGGGTGAGTGGGTGGGTGAGTGGGTGGGTGAGTGGGTGGGTGGGTGGGTGAGTGGGTGGGTGGGTGAGTGGGTGGGTGGGCGAGTGCATGGGTGGGTAAGTGAGTTGGTGAGTGAGTGACTGAGTGGGTGGGTAAGTGGATGATTAAGTGAATAAGTGGATGAGTGTGTGAGTGAGTGGGTGGATGAGTGACTGAGTGAGTGGAAGGGTGGTTGGGTAAGTGAGTGAGTAAGTGGGTGAGCGAGTGAGTGAGTGGGTGAGTTGGTAAGTGAGTGGGTAAGTTGGTGAGTGAGAGAGTGAGCGAGTGAGCGAGTGAGCGAATGGGTGAGTGGGTCGGCAAGTGAGGGAGTGAGCGAGCGGGTGAGCGAGTGGCACCTCACCCAGCCCACACTCCCCGACCGCCGTCACCTTGGGGGCTCCGCTCCGTGCCAGCGCCAGGAGGCGCTCTCCGTAGGTCTCAGACTCTGCCTCGAACTCGGCGCAGCGAGTCGGGTGGCAGCCCACGGTGCAGAGGAAGCGATCTGTACCAGTGGGGCCACCGCAGAGACACACATAGAAACTCACATAGAGACCCACAGAGATCGAGACACTCACACAAACACACTCACAGAATCTCACAGACTCTGACAGAGACCGAGACACTCACACACATACTTCACAGAATCTCACAGACTCTCACAGAGACCCACAGAGACCTAGACACTGACAAGATAAAGACAAAGATCCCCCGTATAGCCTGTAACAAGCTATTGGGCAAATGCTATTAGCGAGAACTCATTGAAGACTGGCACGGCACACGAGGGGGTGGGTGGCAAGCACCACGCCCGGCCGCCTTTGTCTCCCCAGTGGCGATGAGTTTTACACACTGCACCAGGTACTCATTTGAGGCCGAGTCGACTTAGGGGAGGCCCAGGACCGGTTCAGATAATCGTCACCGTTTTTGGCCATGAGCAGGAACCGAACTCTGGTCATTAGGTTCGTACAGCCCCACACACACAGACTCACACACTGAACACTGACTCACAGACACTCGCACAGACTCACAGACTCTCATAGACACTCACAGAATCAGACTCACACACTTACAGACTAACACCCTTAACACTGACTCACAGACTCACACAGACTCACACAGACTCTCACTCACACAGACGCACAGAGACTGGCACAGACATGTAGCCTGCTGTGAGTGTGAAGCTTTGGAAGCTGCTCACAAACTCACACAAACTCATGCAGACTCAAACAAACACACACATACTCGCAGGGACACATAGAGACTCACAGACTTAACACACTCTCACACTCACATCCTTAACACTGACTCACACAGATCTGCAGACTCGTAGACTTAACACTGACTCACACAGACTCACACGGACTCACACAGAATCACATCGACTCTCACAGACTCTCAGTCTCTCACAGACTCTCAGTCTCTCAGACCTACACAGACTCACACACTTAACACTGACTCACAGGGTCACAAAAACCACACACTTAACACCGACTCACAGACTCTCATAGACTCTCACAGAACTCCCACAGACTCACACCCTTAACACAGACTCACAGAATCTCATAGACGCTCACAGACTCACACCCTTAACACACTCACAGAATCTCACAGACCCTCACAGACTCACACAGACTCACACCCTTAACATGGACTCACAGGCTCACACAGACTCACACCCTTAACACAGACTCACAGAATCTCATAGACTCTCACAGACTCACACCCTTAACACAGACTCACAGGCTCACACAGACTCAGACCCTTAACACGGACTCACATAATCTCATAGACTCTCACAGACTCACACCCTTAACACCGACTCACAGACCCTCACAGACTCACACAGAATCACAGCCTTACGCAGACTTACAGGGACTGACAGTCTCGCAGTCTGTTGTGCGCATGAAGCTTTGAAGCTGCTGCTCAGAGACTCACACAAACTCATGCAGACTTAAACAAACACACAGACTCGCAGAGACACATAGAGACTCACAAACTTAACACACTCTCACACACACACACATCCTTAACACTGACTCACACAGATCCGCACAGACTCGTAGACTTAACACTGACTCACATGGACTGACAAAGGCTCACACAGAATTACACAGACACACAGACTCACACAGACTCACACAGACTCACACACCCACACGGACTCATACGGAATCACACTGACTCGCACCGACTCTCAGTCTCTCACAGGCTCACACAGACTCGCACAGACACACAGGCTCACAGACACACAGACACAAAAAGACTCATAGACTCACATAGTAAAATCACAAACTCACACACTCACACGGACTCATATGGAATCACACTGACTCGCACCGACTCTCAGTCTCTCACAGGCTCACACAGACTCGCACAGACACACAGGCTCACAGACACGCACAGACACAAAAAGACTCATAGACTCACATAGTAAAATCACAAACTCACACACTCACACGAAGTCATATGGAATCACACTGACTCGCATCGACTCTCAGTCTCTCACAGACTCACACAGACTCGCACAGACACACAGGCTCACAGACACATACAGACACAAAAAGACTCAGACTCACATAGTAAAATCACAAACTCACACACTCACACGGACTCATATGGAATCACACTGACTCGCACCGACTCTCAGTCTCTCACAGACTCACACAGACTCGCACAGACACACAGGCTCACAGAAACATACAGACACAAAAAGACTCAGACTCACATAAAGAATCACAAACTCACACACTCACACGGACTCATACGGAATCACACCGACTCGAACAGACTCTAAGTCTCTCACAGACTCGCACAGACTCACACAGACTCACCCAGACACATACAGACACAAACAGACTCAGACTCACATAGAGAATCACAAACTCACACAGACTCACAGACTTAACACAGATTCACACAGACTCATAGACTTAACACAGACTCACCCTGACCCTTACAGGCTCACACAGACTCGCAGACTCACACAGACTCAGACTCATAGCCTTAACACAGACTCACCCTGACCCTTACAGACTCACACAGACTCACAGACTCGCACAGACTCATAGACTTAACACAGACTCATAGACTCTCAGACTCGCAGAGACTCGCAGCCTGCTGTGTATGCGAAGCTTTGGAAACTGCTGGGATGGTGGAAGCGGAGGGCGAGGAGTTCACCTGAGGTGTGAGCCAGCGCCAGCGCCTCCTCACTGTCGCTCAAACTGCCTCCCGTGATGATGAACTTCAACAACATCGGCAACATCGTAAACATCATAAACAACATCACCACCATCAACATCACCATCCATATTATAAACAACATCACCACGATCATCGTCACCATCATCTTCCACATCATCAACATCACCATCATCAACATCACCATCATCAACATGACCATCATCATCATCACCATCATCATCACCACCATCATCATCATCAACATCACCACCATCATCAACAAAATCATTATCACCAGCAACATCATAAACAACATCATCACCACCATCATCATCAACAACATCATCTACAATATCATCACCACGATCATCATCACCACCACCATCCACATCATCAACATCACCATCATCAACATGACCATCATCATCACTACCATCATGAACATTATCATGACCATCATGACCATTACTATCCACATCATCATGATCACCACCATCATCATCATAAACAACATCGCCATCATCATCACCAGCATCATCAACATCACCATTATCACTATCACCACCATCATCATCACCACCACCACCATCATCAACACCATCCACATCAACAATACCATCAACAACATAACCACCACCATCCACAGCATTGCCAGCACCACCATCATCAACATAACCATCATCATCAACATCACTAACATCATCATCATCACCACTACCATCATCAACCCCATCCACATCAACATTACCATCACCATCCACAGCATTGCCAGCACCCATCATCATCATTACCATCACCGCCACCATCATCATAACCACAACCATCACCATAACCACCATCACCACCACGATCACTACCACCACCATCATCACCAACACCACCACCATCACAACTACCACTATCACCATCACTACCATCATTACCATCACCACCACCATCACCACCACCACCATCACCACCAGTACGAACCTTCTCAACGCCTGCATCCACCGCTCTGCGGATGACATCGTCAAAGTCGTCTATCGGGAGAGACAATGGGGAGAGCGGTCCTCACTCAAATACTCACTAAATTACCTCTACTTACCTACTCACACTCCCTCACCCACTCACTCACCCACACGCTCACTCACCTACTCACTCACCTATTCACACACGCACTCACTCACCTATTCACTCACCCACTCACTCACCTATTCACACACGCACTCACCCACTCACATTCATTCGCTCACCCACTCACATTCATTCGCTCACCCATTAACCTACACACTCACTCACCTACTCACCCACTCACTCACCCACTCACCGACTCACTCACATTCACTCACCCACTCTTTCACATTCATTTGCTCACCACTCACCCACTCACCTACTCACTCACATTCACTTATCCACTCACCTAATCGCTAACCACCTGCTCACTCACCCAACCACTCAATCACCTACTCACATTCACCTCTGAGTGATCCCCTGAGCGGTACATCTGTGTGAGAGATACCTCTGAGAGTGGTACCTCTGAGAGTGGTACCTCTGAGTGTGAGAGATACCTCTGAGTGTGAGCGATACCTCTGAGTGAGAGTGGTACCTCTGAGTTAGAGTGATACCTCTCTGTAAAAGAGAGATACCTCTGAGTGAGAGTGGTACCTCTGAGTGAGAGAGATACCTCTGAGTGAGAGAGATACCTCTGAGTGAGAGAGATACCTCGGTGTGAGAGATACCTCTGAGTGAGAGTGGTACCTCTGAGTGAGAGAGATACCTCTGAGTGAGAGTGGTACCTCTGAGTTAGAGTGATACCTCTGAGTGAGAGATACCTCTGAGTGAGAGTGGTACCTCTGAGTGAGAGTGGTACCTCTGAGTGAGAGTGATACCTCTGTGTGAGAGTGATACCTCTGAGAGTGGTACCTCTGAGTGGTACCTCTGCGTGAGAGTGGTACCTCTCAGTGAGAGAGATACCTCTGAGTGAGAGTGGTACCTCTGAGTGAGAGTGATACCTCTGAGTGAGAGTGGTACCTCTGAGAGTGGTACCTCTGAGTGAGAGAGATACCTCTGAGTGAGGGTGATACCTCTGAGTGAGAGTGATACCTCTGAGTGAGAGTGGTACCTCTGAGTGAGAGGGGTACCTCTGTGTGAGAGTGATACCTCTGAGTGAGAGTGGTACCTCTGAGTGGTACCTCTGAGTGAGAGTGGTACCTCTGAGTGAGAGAGATACCTCTGAGTGAGAGTGATACCTCTGAGTGAGAGAGATACCTCTGAGTGAGAGTGGTACCTCTGAGTGAGATAGATACCTCTGAGTGAGAGTGATACCTCTGAGTGAGAGAGATACCTCTGAGTGAGAGAGATACCTCTGAGTGAGAGAGATACCTCTGAGTGAGAGTGATACCTCTGAGTGAGAGAGATACATCCGAGTGAGAGTGATACCTCTGAGTGGTACCTCTGAGTGAGAGTGATATACCTTTGTGTTTCTGCTGGCCTTTGTAGATGCCTCTGAACATGGGGTCTGTTAGGTTCACCCCAATATCTGAGCGAGAGAGACACAAAGACACCCATACGGATATGTACACACACATCAACAAAAACGACCATTCACCACTCAGTGGCGGTGACGTCACCACGGCGCTTGTGCCATCCAAGTTGCACTTTCAGATACAAAGACAATGATCCCCCATATAGCCAGTAACAGATTGTTGGGGAAAGTGCTGTTTATGAAGGCCGGCACGGCACACGAGGGGGTGGGTGGCCAGTACCACGCCCGGCCGCCTTTATCTCCCCAGTGGTGATGTCTACACACCGCACCAGGTAACTCATTTGAGGCTGAGTCGACCTAGGGGAGACCCAGGGCCGGTTTAAATAATCGTCACTGGTGTTGGCCGTGAGCGGGAATCGAACTCGGGTCGCCGGGTTCATAGCGCAGCGTAGCGCTGACCGCTGTGCTACAGCACACACACAAATACAAAGATCCCCCCGTTTAGCCTGTAACAGACTGTAGGGGCAAGTGCTGTTAGTAGCAAGTAGTAGCAGCGCCTATGCAGGCTGGCACTGTGGCACACACAGAGGGGGTGGGAGTTCAGCACTCACCACGCCTCTCGTATAAGCTGTTCATTATTTAGACATATTTAGTGACTTGCTTAACTCTGTTCTCTATGTTGCACATCTATCTGTTGTTGTGTATTGTCAGTCACTGTTGTAACTTGGATGACCCCGTGCCCATAACTGGATATCTGTGAAAGAGCTTTATAGCTCATATTCTCTGGGTCTTTGGGTAAAGTCACGTAGATAGGTAAAAAAAAAAACCTATCTACGTGACTACCGAAAGACCCAAAAAATATGAATTCCTGCAGTCACGAAAGCTTTAAGTCAAGATTTAGCTTTATAGCTCGTCGCATTCCTCCTTCTGCAGTCTAAACATTACCCATAATAGAGGTGTTTGTGGGTTCGAGATTGCATAAGTATACATGTCATTAAACTCGCCACTACCACCCCAACACAGCCAATCAGTGAGGGGTTTGTCACGTAACACAGCACGTGGCCAATTTAGTGACTAGTTCAGCACTAAACCGGTTGTTGTGTGTTGGAGAGTTAACCCCACAGGAACATTTACACAATCCGAGTAGCTGGTGATCACAACAACCGCAACAAGCAGCATCATTGGAGTATGAAAAATAAAAATAGGATTTACCCTTTCCAGCAATAAAACACCAGATACTTTTTGCAAGGAATCAAAGACTGCATTAACCACACGTATTTGTGAACATACAAACATGCTTCGATAATATATGGGCATTGTCTTTGAAACTGATTGGCCTACATCAGAAACAGCAGCCTTCTTCATGGCCTAGTCTATCAGTGTCAAAATTCGAACAGTACCAAGACAATGCACGTATCAGGTCACTTATAACTCGGGTGAGCAGCATCATCAGAGTTGTGGAGAAATCCTCCCTTTCGTGTATTTGGCCTTAGACGGGCTGATGTCGTCACTTAAGAGTCCAGGGTGCAAAGACCAAAGGCAAGGGTCAATGTATGTGTAGCGACATGGAATGGGTCACTAGGTAGCATAGCGCTAAATGCCGTCAGAGAAAGGGGATCTGCAGTTGCAGCAGCCCTGTCTGACAGCAGGTCACGTGATACGCCAGAGAGAAGGATGTAGGGGAAAGGTTACAGTGGGGGCACGTGAGGGAAGTCCGGAAACCCACTAGTAGGTTCTAGACGGGGGCGTGGCTGGGGCGGAGCGAGGCCACGCTGGAAGGCTAAAAGGGGACCCCGAGCGAAGGTTCGGGGCTGTCGCCTGGAGTGGGATCCCATCGTGATGCTGGAGTCTTTGTCGCCGTCTACATCATCACCTTCTCGGCGTCGCCAGTCAGGGAGTCTGCCAGCTGTCCTGACTGGGAGCTGTAGTTACCTCTTGTGAACTGTGAAGGCGGGGCTGTCGCCTGGAGTGGGATCCCATCGTGATGCTGGAGTCTTTGTCGCCGTCTACATCATCACCTTCTCGGCGTCGCCAGTCAGGGAGTCTGCCAGCTGTCCTGACTGGGAGCTGTAGTTACCTCTTGTGAACTGTGAAGGCTGTTAATAAATAGAGTTCCTCCTACTCCTAGTGTCTCTGAGTCAGTCACCGCATATGGATACACATTACAATAGATACCCATTACCGGTTGGGTTATTCACAGGGTAATCAACATACACAGTGTGCATGCATGGTCTAAATGTTGCGATTCTGATGCCCGGCCACCTTTAACTCTCCCTATAGTGACTTAAAGCTTTTGTGACTGCAGGAATTCATATTCTTTGGATCTTTCGGTAAAGTCACATAGATAGGTTCAGAGAAAATTAAAAATAACAAAAAAACTACGTTTCGATCGCAACACAAGCATTCGTCATCAGGAAGAGGGGCTTAGCTTCTAAATGCAAACTGTTTATAAAGGTTTGAAATGAGCATAGCCCAAATGTCAGCAGCCAATGGTAATGTAAGTGGTGGGCAGCGACCACGACGATGGTGGGTTTTCCCACCAATTAAAGGGCTGTCCAGTAAAAATGAGCATAATAATGTTAGACCGTTGAGCAGCCTCCACGGCGGGCGCCTGAGGTGGCTATGTTAATGTGAGAGATTAGAATGTTAATGGGAGATCGGAGAGAAAAAACCTCGAGCTCGGTGAACTCGGTGGCTGTTAGGGTGAGAAAAACCTGACTCCCACCATCCTTCCTAGAATAATTCCCTCATCAACACTCTACACCATAGAGCTCGATGTACTTCCGACCATCATCACCTAGCCAGTGACCTGGAACACGTACACCGAGCTCTCAAGATATTCAGACTACACAATCCATAAAGCTATCACCCCAACCGTTGGGAAAAAAACGTCTGAGGACCCAATCAAAACCATCACCTTGCCATACATAGCAGGGGTCACCTAAAATATTTCCAAAATCATGAGCCAACACAAGATCCAGGTTTGATTTAACACAGTACATAAAATTCGTGATCTGATCCCATCTGTGAAGGATTTGATCCCTGACATGCAATACCCTGGCGTCTACAAACTAGGCTGTGTCTGCGGCAGTAGTTACATTGGGGAAACTAAGCGACATGTCTCAGACCGTGTTCGTCAACATAAGGCAGATCCGAAACACCAATACCTCGGCCGTGGCAGATCATTGTTTTAATGCGGTGGGCTCGCACGAAATTGATTTCTCTAAGACGAAAGTACTTTGCAAACTCACTGGCTATCAACAAAGTTTCGTTCATGAAGCCATCCAAATATCGATTTCAATCAAAAAGATGGGTATAAACTGAGCAATAATTGGAAGGTCATTATCAACCAGTTTAAGTCATAACTGGCTTGTGATGTTCCCATCCTACCACCTTCCGATATTATTTGGTATTTTCGGCTCTCTGATTTTACATTAACAGGTTAAATTTCTCACTCTAACACAGCCACCTCGCTCACCGAGCTCGAGGTTTTTGTTTTGCGATCTTCCATTAACATGCTAACCTCTCACATTAACATAGCCACCTCAGGGCGCCCGCCGTGGAGGCCGCTCAACAATCTATCATGCTAATTTTTACTGGGCAGCCCTTTGATTGGTAGGAAAACCCACCACCGTCGTGGTCGCTGCCCACCACTTACATCAACCTTGGTTGCTGATATTTGGGCTACGCCCATTTCAAACCTTTATAAAGTTTGCCTTTAGAAGCTAACCCCCTCTTCCTGATGACAAACGCTTGTGTTGCGATCGAAACGTCGTAGTTTTTTTTTATTTTCTCTGAACATATCTACGTGACATTACCGAAAGACCCAAAAAATATCTCCCTATAGTGGCGATGTTTACTACACACTACCACTACGCCACATTAAGCAGTCACCTTTGCTCACCGGTTTCTGCCACGCACTCAAAGCTCACTTATTGATGATCCCTAGCTCACCCCACGACCCCCCACACACTCCACCTCATAAGCATCACCACCGTTACTGTTCCCTCTTCATATTCTCATTACACGGCTACCACTCATCAACCCCAGTCATTCAATCCATTCATCATTTACTGTCATCGATCTCGCTTTCACCGAATGCACGCATCATCACCACACAGATTCGCCTCCAATTGCTTCCTCTCATCTATTTCATTCACCTCATCTTCACCATTACATGAATGTTGTGTGCCCTTGTTAATTCTGCGTAAAGTACCTTGGAGAAGGTGCTATAGAAATTATTGTAAGATAAGCCAACTCATTTGAGCAGGGCCGGATCAAGGTTCGTGTCGGCTCGACGCACTTCTGTTTCGGCAGGCCTATCAGTGATGACTTTCCAGCAGTTGGCACTGCAGCTGTCCATGTCACCACTACCGCCACAGTCACCTCCGCCCAGATATGCTCAAAGCCCAAACATCCGACAAGCCGATCGGCCAGTGGCTCTCCCGAATGTTTACACCGCTTTAAGGATGTATATCTGGCCATTGTAGTCGGTCTGCCCCGTCCCCTCTCCGGTCGAGGTGGGAGGTGCAGGGCCCACTCAAGACAATACAAATAATGGTTAGTTTAACACGTAGGCTTTCGCGACCAATATCATCCATGATAGACATTTTTTGGGTTAGATCGCGTAAATATATAAAAGTGTCGTTAAAACCCGCCACCATGTGACAACCCTTACCAGTTGGCTGTGTCGGGTGGTGGCGGGTTTTAACGACACTTTCATATATTTACACGATCTAACCCCAAAAACCTATGGAAAAATAACGAAGCTTCGAGAGGATGGTACGTGACTCTGCATTGCATTGTGTCGTCCTCTAGAGAAGTGTTGGGGGAGCGACCTGACCACGGCTGCAATGGCGATCAAGAGACTCAGCCTCCACGTCACAACACCAGAGCTGAAATCCTCGGTCAAGAAGATTGCCCCGAATCTACATTTGGGGCCCGCTTCGTACTCTCGTCCAATCTCCGATCACCATTTTCCTGCTCTTAAACAACAATACACCCCTTGGCTACCTGCAGCCAGCTATGCAGAATGGTTTCCGATGTTCCCATATGCTACAGAGTGCACAATTATCCAGCGCGGTGTGATTCATCACAGGTGAGTTCGCACCGCCAACAACATCTTGGGGAACAAGTTGTGAAGGTGGAGCATTTTTTTCCAAAGCCGATAGAAAAAAAACCCGTCTCCGATAAACCACAGGACGACACTGTCTTCCATTGGACTTATCCCTGTTGAGAATGAGATTGTGCGAAAAACGCCATTTGAAGATGCTATTCGAAAACTTTTCAATTAAGAAAATCTCGAAAAGTTCATCTCCGGTGTTAATTTCTCTCACACCTTATGAAAAAAAAGAATGATTAGCATGACTCAGCCTTTTTCTATATACGCTGTTCCTATCCTTGCTATATACATGTTTATTCAACAAGATATCTTGGTTACATTTTTTTTTATAACTCAAACTAAAAAAACAGGGGTCAAAATTAGTTTTCATTGCCACTTTAATTTTCGTCGGCCCTAGGCACAGTGCCTACGACTGTGGCCTATTGGATAATACAGCCCTGGTGGGTGAGTGGATGAATGAAGAGTGGGTGGCTGGGTAAGTGGGTGGCTGGGTGAGTGAATGAGTGGCTGGCGGGGTGAGTGGGTGAATAAGTGGGTGGCTGGGTGAGTGGGTGAATGAGTGGGTGGCTGGGTGAGTGGATAAATGAGTGGGTGGCGGAGTGGGTGGCTGGGTGAGTGGGTGGATGGGCGAGTGGGTGGCTGAGTGGATGAAGAGTGGGTGGCTGGGTGAGTGGGTGGCTGGGTGAGTGGGTGGCTGGGTGAGTGGGTGAATAAGTGGGTGGCTGGGTGAGTAGGTGATTGAGTGGGTGGCTGGGTGAGTGGGTGGCTGGGTGAGTGGATGGGTGAATACGTGGGTGGCTGGGTGAGTAGATGAGTGGGTGGATGAATGAGTGGGTGGCTGGGTGAGTGGGTGAATAAGTGGTTGGGTGGCTGGGTGAGTGGAAGAGTGAGTGGGTGGCTGGGTGAGTGGGTGGCTGGGTGAGTGGGTGGGTGAATGGGTGGATGTCTTCTATACTTTAGGCTGCTATATATTTCCACACGATAAACTACTTCGCTATCATTTGTAACAGCCAGGCAGCTTCTGAAGAGCCACATAGCACAGTGGGCCTTAACTTTTAAGAGAAAAAAGTTATATTTGTAAATATTGAAAGTCGTGTTTACCTTGCCTATACTGTTACACTCCCATCGTGTTACTGGGTATTGTTTGTTGCAGTAACGTTCTGACCCCGTGCCCCACACTGGATATCTATGATTAAAGAGCTTCATAGCTCATAGGATTACGCCTCCTGCAGTATAAACATTCTGATTCTGTAACCGTGACAACAGGATCGGGCATGGAAGGAGGAGGCGGTGCAGCATGTCTCCTTCGTGGGGTTCGAGGCAATGAATCCCGGCCACGGCGCTAGGCGAGACCGAGGCTTCACGCTAGCCCCGGGGAACTCGACTAGGCCTTGCCCCCGGTGTTTCCGTCTTCTACGGAGCTACAGGGCGCGATCGGCGAGGCCGGGCGGGGCGAGGCGGGGGTCGTCTCATCGCGGCCCTCAGACACGGAGGGGAGAGGGACGAGGATAAGGAATGGCGTCTTCTCTCACCCACGAATCTCAGCGCCGCGCTGCGAATGGCCGCCATTGCGAGAAAGGAAGCCTCGCCACACTTCCACTCGCGTGACGTAATTCCGAGCTGAAGGAACGCCCGGTGACATGACGTCACATCCCTCCCTCCCCCCCCCGCCACCTCCAGATCGGACGTCACTCGGGTGGTAAACCCACCCAACCTCCGACGTGAAACGTCATCTTACAGCCAAGCGTGACGTCATATGTGGTGTGAATTGATCAGATTCGCATTTAAATTACAATCGATTAATCGAATATGTCTATTTGGTTGGTGCAGATTTTAGGGAAAGGCATTGCCAGCTGATCGTTGCTGTGGTTGTATCGATTCCACTCCAAGTCTTCTGTAGAGATACTGTGGCCACTTTACGTGAAAGCGCATGCTTGATTTTAAATATGCTAATTATTTAACTAGCTTACTGTGCTGGGAATTGATTTCTCACTGGAAAGGTGAGATAGAGTCACTCATCTGTACTGATTAGGATGAACCAAGAGTCACTCACCTGTACTGAATGAGATGGACACCGTCACTCACCTGTACTGAATGAGATGCACACAGTCACTCACCTGTACTGATTGAGATGCACACATTCACTCACCTGTACTGATTGAGATGCACACAGAGTCACTCACCTGTACTGAATGAGATGGACACCGTCACTCACCTGTACCTATTGGGATGGACCAAGAGTCACTCACCTGTACTGATTGAGATGGACACAGAGTCACTCACCTGTACTGATTGGGATGGACCAAGAGTCACTCACCTGTACTGATTGAGATGCACACAGAGTCACTCACTTGTTCTGATTGGGATGGACCAAGAGTCACTCACCTGTACTGATTGAGATGCACACAGAGTCACTCACCTGTACTGATTGAGATGCACACAGAGTCACTCACCTGTACTGATTGAGATGCACACAGAGTCACTCACCTGTACTGATTGGGATGGACCAAGAGTCACTCACCTGTACTGATTGAGATGCACACAGAGTCACTCACCTGTACTGATTGAGATGCACACAGTCACTCACCTGTACTGATTGAGATGCACACAGAGTCACTCACCTGTACTGATTGAGATGCACACATAGTCACTCACCTGTACTGATTGAGATGCACACAGTCACTCACCTGTTCTGATTGAGATGCACACAGAGTCACTCACCTGTACTGATTGGGATGGACCAAGAGTCACTCACCTGTACTGATTGAGATGCACACAGTTACTCACCTGTGTAATGACCCTAGGACAACTTCTTGTGTCCGTTATTATTTATTAAGGCACGTCGCGCAGATAACGTGGTCTCGTATCCTACAAATACTTGGGCTAGGATTAACATACAGATACTTGGGTTAGGGGGCCGTCCATAAATGACGTCACGCACCTAGGGGGGGGGGGGAGGGGGGTCAGACATTTGTGACGATATGTGACGAGGGGGGAAGGGGCGGTTTGAGAAATGTGACGTCACATCAAAATGCACAACTTTAAATAAATATTAATTCAATAGAATTGTTATAACAACACTTATTGATGATTTTTCATTATTAACTATTTGATTATTTAAATTAAATAAGGTCACCTTTTATTTATTCCATGAAGGAGCATTTTGCTTCTCCATGGGAGAATGGAGAAGCATTCTCCATGGGAGAATGGAGAAGCATACATTTTGTCAATTTTTTGAATGATTGTTATTAAACATTTTGATTCTAATGATTCTACCAGGGCTTTTCATTCTGTGAAATCAATATGTGATTGTTATAATTGTACTCTCCATTTTGGTTCGTTCTACTATAAAGTTTAAAGTTTTTTTTCATAGTTATAACTACTTTTAATATTTTATAATTATAAGAGAATTTCAATAGACGTTGAATATTTTCAAGTGAATTTTATACTAAATTTCAGCTTTCCAACGCCTCCTTTTTAATACATGTTTTCTCCCACATCAGAGTGCAGCGCCACATTAAATACGCACTACAATGACAATAGTTTAAAGTGATATGAAGCATGTTTTATTTTCAAAATGGAAATAGGGTTTGGGGGGGGGGGCAGAGCTTTGTGACGTCATATTTGAGGGGGGTCTAAGTTTTTGTGACGCCGTATGATGAGGGGGGTTCAAAATCGGCAAAAATGGCGTGATGTCATTTATGGACGGCCCCTAGGATAACAACAGATACTTGGGCTAGGATAACAACAGATACTTGGGCTAGGATAACAACAGATACTTGGGCTAGGATAACAACAGATACTTGGGCTAGGATAACAACAGATACTTGGGCTAGGATAGCAACAGATACTTGGGCTAGGATAGCAACAGATATTTGGGCTAGGATAGCAACAGATACTTGGGCTAGGATAACAACAGATACTTGGGCTAGGATAGCAACAGATACTTGGGCTAGGATAACAACAGATACTTGGGCTAGGATAACAACAGATACTTTGGCTCGGATAACAACAGATACTTGGGCTAGGATAACAACAGATACTTGGGCTAAGATAACAACAGATACTTGGGCTAGGATAACAACAGATACTTTGGCTAGGATAACAACAGATACTTGGGCTAGGATAACAACAGACACTTGGGCTAGGATAACAACAGATACTTGGGCTAGGATAACAACAGATACTTGGGTTAGGATAACAACAGATACTTGGGCTGGGATAACAACAGATACTTGGGCTAGGATAACAGATACTTGGGCTAGGATAACAACAGATACTTGGGCTAGGATAACAACAGATACTTGGGCTAGGATAACAACAGATACTTGGGCTAGGATAACAACAGATACTTGGGCTAGGATAACACGCTCGGCTAGGACAGCACCCAAGTAGCGACGACGCGAAGACAGCGACAATGCAGAGACAGTGTGGTGGCACAGCAGCGAAGCCGTCATGCCGACTCTGTGGCCGCGACGCCGCCACCTCCGAGCGACGGGGCCTACGCTGCTCTTCCCTCACCACCCCCCATATGAACACACACACACCTTCACATAGAGCCCCGAGGGGAGGTCATCTGGCCGACAGGTTTTCGCCCGGAAGCCCTCTCATGGGACCTAACTTCACGGTTTCCTGCGACCAGGGAATTGGGCGACCTCCCCCGAGGCTAACTCGCACCGCGGCGCCGTGACTTGGGTTGTAATCACGTGGTCACGACGGGGCTGCTGAGCCACCGCGGATAGAAAAACAGGGTCGGTCCTCTGATTGGTAGGCCAGATGCGCTTGTATAGAAGGTGAAAAGCGGACGTCTGAGAGAGCACCGGTCCGGGGGGAGTTGGAGGGAAATCCGAGCCACCTGATTGGATGGGAGGCCAGCGGATCAGCGCCGATTTATCTTTGATGTAGAGGACAATAAAAAGGGTAGAGAAGGTTGGGAGAGTGAGTTCGTGTTCTACTCAAGCCAGCGCTCGGGGCGGTCGACTTCCCAGCCACTCGAACGTCCGTGTGACGAGTCGAAGTGCAGCGAGGATCCGACCCAGGAGCTCCGTACGAGTCGAACCGTGAGTACCCGAGAGTGATATATTGAGGCCATTGTGAGATTGTCTTAGGAGAATGATTTGAAAGAGGCGATACAGATCGGATCTTGGACCATCAGGAGATAGATTAGACCTGCCCTGCTGACTCAAACTGACTCGGGTAATTTAACCTCGGACTCGCTGAGAATAAACTGTTGGTGATCAATAAACCTTGTCGTGTGGTTTCTGCGAGGGTGGAACGGATGCATGTTGGTGTGCGTCGTTGTACCCTGTGTTTGTGCGTGAGTGTGTATGTACCCACGTGTTTGCGCTCGCCCATGCGTGTAGCTCGTGGTTAGCGTGTGCGTGTGGTGAGCGGTGGTGGACTCGTACAGGGGCACGTGAGATTACCCATACGCCCTTGTGTTTAACGTGTGCGTGAGGCAAACGGGTGGCGTACACGCGAGATTATTCGTGCGGCCTTTTGTTTAGCGCGTGCGTGGGGTGAATGGGCGGCCTTACCTGTGAGATTGTTCATACAGACCTTTAAATAAATCTCCGAGACAACCCCCCCAATCGGCTGTGCATGTGCGAGTGACGTCCCTGCCCTCTGACCCCCGACCCCCGACCCCCGACCCCGCGTCCCGCGTGCGCGATTGGTGCGTTGGCACGGGAGAGGAGCGACGTCGGATTTTGAGTGAGTAGGTGTGAGTGAGTTTGCGCGGAGATTATGTGAATTGATCCCAGGTGGCTAAGCGCCAGCCACGAATCATGCCTCGAGGGGCCGTAGCGAAGGGGGGGGGGGGAGTCGGTGAGCAGTAACCCTACCCAGGACACGGAAGAAGGGAGCAGTGGATCCCACCTGAGCGAGGAGCCGGGGGTCAGCCTCCCCAACAACAGCGGCGGCCCGAAGACAACGACGGAGAGGAGACAGTCCGTCCCGATCACACGGCAGCCCTGAGCTGCCTCGCCCGCCGCCTTATATTCCCACGGCCATGCCCCCCTTCTCAATTTTCCTCGGCCAATCCAGAACTTCCCCGATGGTTCCCTGCCTGTAATTATCCCTCATGACCACTTGGCCACACACTGTCCCTGCACCAGCACTGTCTCCACACACGCAGTCTATCTCTCTCCACACTGTCCCTACATCTGCACTGATTGACAGGGACACAGAGTCACTAATCTGTACTGAATGAGATGCACACAGTCACTCACCTGTACTGATTGAGATGCACACAGAGTCACTCACCTGTACTGATTGAGATGCACACAGAGTCACTCACCTGTACTTATCGAGATGCACACAGAGTCACTCACCTGCACTGATTGAGATGCACACAGAGTCACTCACCTGTACTTATCGAGATGCACACAGAGTCACTCACCTGCACTGATTGAGATGCAAACATTCACCTGTACTGATAGAGTTGGACAGAATCACTCACCTGCACTGACTGAGATGACACAGATTCACTCACCTGTACTGATTGAGATGCACACAGAGTCACTCACCTGTACTCATCGAGATGCACACAGAGTCACTCACCTGCACTGATTGAGATGCAAACATTCACCTGTACTGATAGAGTTGGACAGAATCACTCACCTGCACTGACTGAGATGACACAGATTCACTCACCTGTACTGAATGAGATGGACACAGAGTCACTCACCTGTACTGATTGAGATGCACACAGAGTCACTCACCTGTACTTATCGAGATGCACACAGAGTCACTCACCTGCACTGATTGAGATGCAAACATTCACCTGTACTGATAGAGTTGGACAGAATCACTCACCTGCACTGACTGAGATGACACAGATTCACTTACCTGTACTGAATGAGATGGACACAGATTCATTCACTGAGACTTCGTCCCACCGACTTATTCCTTCAGTGGTCCTGCCTCTCTCCTTCTCTGGCCCCGCCCATCTACTTCTGACCCCGCCACTCTCCCTCTCGTGCTGCGCGCTTCGCGTGGCTGCCACCGGAGTTGATGGAGCCCCGAGTCTCATTCACTTCTGGCGTCTGAGAGAGGCGATGCAGCAGCGTGCGGGCCTTGCGATGATGGCCTGGATGGTGCTGCTGGCTCTACCGTGGCTCACGCTGGCGGAGCAAGGTACTGGCTACACTAACCCACACGCGCACGGGTTTACATAACTGAGTGGCGAATGTAAATTCTAGTTATATTCTAGAAGGCATGGAGAGCTGAGTGATGTAAATTCTAGTGATGTTCTTGAAGGGCTAGAGAGCTGAGTGATGTAAATTCTAGTGATGTTCTAGAAGGGCTAAAGAGCTGAGTGATATAAATTCTAGTGATGTTCTAGGAAGGGCTAGAGAGCTGAGTGATATAAATTCTAGTGATGTTCTAGAAGGGCTAGAGAGCTGCGTGCCTGATGTAAATTCTAGTGATATTCTAGAAGGGCTAGAGAGCTGAGTAATGTAAATTCTAGTGATATTCTTGAAGGACTAGAGAGCTGAGAGTGATATAAATTCTAGTGATGTTCTAGGAGGGCTAGAGAGCTGAGTGATGTAAATTCTAGTGATGTTCTAGAAGGGCTAGAGAGCTGAGTGATATAAATTCTAGTGATGTTCTAGGAGGGCTAGAGAGCTGAGTGATGTAAATTCTAGTGATGTTCTAGAAGGGCGAGAGAGCTGACTGCCTGACTACAGCGCCTGACTACAGCGAGTGATTTACATCACTCGCTGTAGTGAGTGATGTAAATTCTAGTGATGTTCAGAAGGGATACAAAGCTGAGTGATGTACATTCTCATGGTGTTCTAGAAGGGCGAGAGAGCTGTAGTTATATAAACTCTGGTGATGTTCTAGAAGGTCTAGACATGTGAATGGTTAAATTATCGTGGTGCTATTGAAAGGCTAGAGAGCTGAGTGATGTATATAGCACACACTGACCCACAGACTCTCACAGAGACCTACAGACTGACACAGAAACCCACAGACTCACACAGAGACCACAAGACTCCCATAGAGACCCACATGTTCACATAGAGACCCACAGTCTCACACATAGACCCACAGACTCATACAGAGATCACACGACTCACATAGAGACCCACAGGCTCACATAGAGACGCGCAGGCTCACACAGAGACCCACAGGCTCACACAGAGACCCACAGGCTCACACAGAGACCCACAGTCGCACATAGAGACCCACAGACTCACGTACAGACCAACAAACTCACATAAAGACCCACAGACTCACGTACAGACCAACAAACTCACATAAAGACCCACAGACTCACGTACAGACTGCCTGACTCGTATAGGAAACCACAGACGCACATAGAGACTCACTGACTCACATAGAGACCCACGAACAACATTTGAGTGGCTTTCCGCTTGCCTAACACTTTGAGATGTTTTTTTTGTAAAACTTGGAAGATACAAACATGTCGTCTTTCTCATCCCTACAAACACGGCCACTACAACCATGACCACCACTGTCACCATCACCATCATCACAGTCAGCAGGATCACCACTACAACCATAACCACCACTAACATAATCAGCACCACCACGGAAACTATCACCACCCCTGCCATCATCATCATCACCACCACCATCACAATACCACTGTCACCTTCACAATACCACTGTCACCATCACCTACACTGTCACCATCACCACCACTGTCACCATCACCTCCACTGGCACCATCACAATACCACTGTCACCATCACCAACACTGTCAACACCACTCCTACAGCGGCACATTGATGCGCATTCTCCACACGGCGTGGCAGTGAAGAGCGGCGGCCATTTTTGGCTGCAGAGTTGGCAGCTGTTGGTTCACTTGAATGTGTGGGGTAAGGAAAGTGTGGACGCGTGACCAAGACAGCCGAGGTCAAAGAGGAAATTGAGCCACGCAGTTTCTTAATGAGAGAGGCTCTGAGGGCAGGATAAGTGAGAAGCGAGCTTCTGAGAAGTGCCAGAATGTGGTGAAACCACACTACCCACCCACACCCAACGGGAGAGATCAACAAGCGGGCCGTGGCCCGTGGGTATATCAGTGTAGTATATAGTAGTGTAGTCTATCGTAATGTAGTGTACATTGTAGTGTATAGTAGGGTATAGTGTAGTGTATTATGGAGTGTATAGTAGTGTAGTGCATAGTAGTGTTGTGTATAGTGTAGTGTGTAGTGTAGTCTATCGTAGTGCGTGCAACACAGCAACACAAGCTACCAGACAGTCTCGTCCCTTCACCTGATGAAGGCCGCTTGTGTTGTGGCCGAAACGTCGTGAGAATATTATTGTGTTATTTTATTTTATCAATTTATTATTTTATCCTCATTCTACGTGACTTTACCGAAAGAACCAAAGAAGACAAGCTGCTATAGTTTCTGCAGTGATGGGTACACGGGGATTCTCATCGATGGGGAACCACAGACGAGACTTTTATTTAGAGCGGTAGAGATACAGTGGCAGAGAGATATGGGAAGTGGGCGCATTGTCCGCGTGTTCATTTCGCTATTTACATCCTCGCAGCAACGCAGGGGCGTTGTGTAATGCATGGTTTTGTTTGTACGTTGAGCGAGAAGCCGTAGACATCTGACAGGCGTATGTCCAGCGTGGGTTCAAGCGAGCCCTGACTGTACCGCTGACGAGGCACTGAATGCCGAAACCGGTCCAGAGTTTCCTTGTCTTAAACCAGTGCTGGTTCTTAACCTTTGCTGCAGTCGTTAAACAATGGACAATGTTAATAAATAAATAGACTTGGTGAAACAAAGTAGTTGTACTTACGTGCCCGTGCTGAAGTTGTGTTTCCATGATTTATCGTCTAAGAAAATCTGGCCATGTCTCGCACTCCCAGAAAGGTCATCTCGCAAACCAGTGGGTGCGTGATGTGGCTCAGGTTAAGAAGCACCACCGCCTCCCAGTAGGCTGGATGGCTGATGGAGGAGAGGATTGTCTCCACATTTATCGTTGCCTCCTCCTCCTTCAACTCCCCTTGCTTCACGTTCACTACACCGCCGTCTTCTCAGATACCCGACAACGCTATACGGAAGTGAAATCTCAGAATCAGAATGTTTATATATACTGCAGCAGGAGGAATCCGATGAGCTATACATCTCTTTATCACAGATGTCCAGCAGGGGCACGGGGTCAGAACGTTACAACAACAAACACAATACTCACAAACACGATAGGAGTGCAAAGTATAGGAAAGGTAAACAAATAACTTCACAAAGTAAACAAATACAACTAATAAAACAAGATTTGACCAAATTTTTATTTAAAGCTTTCGTGACTGCAGTAATTCATATTCTTAGTTTTTTCGGTAAAGTCACGTTGAAGAGAAACAACAAAATAACAAAATATATATAAAACAATAAAAAATTCTCACGACGTTTCGACCATAACTCAAACGGTCATATATATATTTTGTTATTTTGTTGTTTCTCTTCAACGTGACTTTACCGAAAAAACTAAGAATATAAGATTTGACCAGGTAAGTTCCTCCACTGAACTATTTGCTTCTTTTTCACAAATGACAGCTCAACGAAGTGGCTTATCATCATCATGTGGACATTTCTCACAGCCAAATGCTCTAAACGCGTGTTTCTAAATGTGGAGGAAAAGCCAAGAGGACCCGGAGAAAAATCCACGCGACTACGGGGAGAGAGACACGCGTACTCGAAATATACAGCAGCAGGCGTCATGGTCGGGATTGAACCTACCTACCACCTCCTGTATACAAGGCGAGGTAGTTAACATCTCCTAGCCACCGTGGCGTCAGGGTCGGAATCAAACTCAGGACCTCCTGTATACCAGGCGAGGTAGTTAACATCTCGCCACCACGGCACTCCACCTGGGAATCAATGCCCCCCCCCCCCTCCTTTCCCCCATGGATTTTGAGTTGAAAATCACTTTCGGAGCCTCAAAGACAAAGATCCCCCGTTTAGCCTTAACAGACTGCTGGGGCAAGTGCTGTTAGCGAGCACCTATGAAGGCCGGAACAGTACACGAGGGGGTGGGTGGCCAGCACCACGCCAAACCGCCTTTGTCTCCCTAGTGGCGATGTTTACACACCGCACCAGGTACTCATTTGAGGCTGAGTCGACCTAGGGGAGGCCCAGGACCGGTTCAGATAATCGTCACTGGTGTTGGCCGTGAGCGGGAATCGAACCCGGGTCTACCAGGTTCATAGCGCAGCGCGTTAACCGCTACCACACTACCGCTGCCCACACTATGGGTTCTGAGTTGCCAGTCACTCTCGTAGCCTCACACACAGACGCACAGCGCACAGACACACAACACAAACGCACGAACCACCGCGCCCCACAGCTCCAGAGGGCCCCCATCCCACCCACCACGTCACGCTCACAGAAAGCAGAAGCCACGCGGTGCCCCTTGCGAGGCACCGCGTGGCGCAATCCAACCGCAGGGCGGCGCACGATGCTTCCGTGTTGCAACGCCACCCCTATTACACGCTTTTTTATTTACACTCACTCTGCCTGTTGTGTCGTCAATTCTGTCTGTTGTTGTATCGTCAACTCTGTTGTTGTATCGTCAACTCTGTTGTTGTATCTTCAACTCTGTCTGTTGTTGTATCTTCAACTCTGCCTGTTGTTGTATCTTCAACTCTGTTGTTGGATCTTCAACTCTGTCTGTTGTTGTGTCTTCAACTCTATTGTATCTTCAACTCTGTCTGTTGTTGTCTTCAACTCTGTCTGTTGTTGTATCTTAAACTCTGTCTGTTGTTGTATCTTCAACTCTGTTGTTGTATCTTCAACTCTGTCTGTTGTTGTATCGTCAACTCTGTTGTTGTATCGTCAACTCTGTTGTTGTATCGTCAACTCTGTTGTTGTATCTTCAACTCTGTCTGTTGTTGTATCTTCAACTCTGTTGTTGGATCTTCAACTCTGTCTGTTGTTGTGTCTTCAACTCTATTGTTGTATCTTCAACTCTGTCTGTTGTTGTGTCTTCAACTCTGTCTGTTGTTGTATCGTCAACTCTGTTGTTGTATCGTCAACTCCGTTGTTGTATCGTCAACTCTGTTGTTGGATCTTCAACTCTGTCTGTTGTTGTGTCTTCAACTCTGTTGTTGTATCTTCAACTCTGTCTGTTGTTGTGTCTTCAACTCTGTCTGTTGT